ATTTTGCTCGATCCATTCCAGTTGAATAAAGCCATAGCTTGACTGAAATTCGATTTTAAGTACCTTGTATGGAAGTTGAGATTTCACTCAAAAATCCACTTGAATTATTGTTCTATCGTATTTTACCAGAACTATTAAAATCTGGTCGATAAAAGAGTAATTATTTTTTGTTTTATTTCATCTAAAGCACTGCAAACACATAAAGCCAAAGAAATTATCTTCTCCAGCTTTATAGCTTTAAGACTTTTTAAGGTTTACTTTTATTTGCTTCTTGGGGACGCGCAAACACGCCTATTATTTCTTTATCCCAGCCGGGCAAGAGGCAAGAGCCAGTTCCGAATCGCCATAAAACAACTCGTGGCACAATAATTGTTAATCTTAATGTCACGACATATGTAATTGCGCATTTATGATACGATAGGCAACTAAATCCGCGAGGCCAAACCGACAACGGCTCTTAACCTAGGTCAGTAACTGCGACTCTTTGATCGTTTAGTACACCCACGCCCGTGTGTCTGGTGGTGGGACCGGAATCAGGATTTGACTGAACACATTTTAGAACACCAATTACAAGAAGCTGTTAACTTTAATGCATTACCTAAATAAAAATACTAAGCATAAAAGACGATCGGATAAAAATCTCATTCAATACCCTCATCCGTTGAAGACTGCACTCACATGTATTTGATGAAAAAGACAATTCACCTTATAACACATTACCGTTTCGTAAGTAAAAGTCTCCACACGAACGTACCAATTAGACAACTCCTAATTCACTTTATAAGATGGATCATAAATAGCTTTAAATCGAAATTAATTACAGCTTCAATACACAATTCACCATATTAGTTAGGTTAGAATCGCAAATTGGCGCGGGTTCCTAGTTCAAAAATTAATACATTGATGTCTTATGGGGACTCAATTTTGAAAGCGTCTGTAGGCGTGATAGAACGTTTGTTAGGGAAGTGAGTTGTATAAATAGTTTTTTTAATATGTTAATTAACTGAGAGAGTGTTTGAAAGTTGAATAAACATTGTTAAAATAAAAATATTACCAATTTCAGAAGCCGATGTTTGTATAAAATACGTATGTCGTTGCTTAATCCATAAGTATATATTTGGATACCTATAATTATAATAAAATAAAAGTGTACCTACATACTTGGTTAGTAAATGTACTTCAATAATCCAAAAAAAATGGAAAAACAAATGACTGAACCAGTGATAAATAAATAAATAAATAATTCACCAACAATCATAACAGAACACACAACCTCACTTTCTTACAGCTGGTTTTAGACCCGACGTACGTCCACCGAAAACCGACACTTTTAATTAAAATCATTTGTATTTTTAATTTATAGGTCTAAAAAAACAATTAAAGCATGAATTATAGAGAAATATGTTCAAAGTTTGACGTATAATAGGTTCAAATACTAAGAAATGCCCAGAACCCAAGATATTCCCGTCTGAAAATCACTCTTTTGAATCCCCCGTAAGAAATACATTGCTGTCAAATTTGTTGAAATGTGTTTAGGAACCCATTTTAAATTTCGCGCCCGATTTTTCCTAACCTAACTAATATGGTGAATTGAAATATTTATTTGTGTTGCGGTTATTGTATGATTTATGGAGTAAAAACAGTTACAAACCAAAGAATTAACTTAAGTGCAAATTATAAAATAGAGCATCTGGTTTGTTGGCAAGACGCCGCGAGAGAACTAACTAAATATCCAGTGTTACCTGTAAACATAAACGAAATTGGTCATTACAGTATTCTGGAGTATTTACCAGACAATAATTAGTTGAAGCTCATTATAAAAAGGACGAAAAGGCATAGCAGAATATTGCGAACTTTCCGGATCACTTATAGCGCTGTATGTTTGTTGACTGGGTGCATGAGCAAGGAGAAGAACTTTCGTATAACATCAGCGTAAGTGATTATGCGCATAAACATCTCAGCAGCTACGTCAGCAAGTAGTTTCATGACTGAATAAGTAATTCAAAGGAAAAGAAAAAAACTCTTGCATTTGAACATCTCCAGTTTTAGGTAGAGTAGCTGTGATATTTTCCTGAAAAATTGTAGTTCGTTCCCGTAATGGAATGTGTTCTTTTGTTCTATTTCCTTAATACGATGGACGACATAGAGGACCACTGCCTTGATAAAGATAATTAATTTATGGAAACGTCGGCAAATTTGAGACATTGAGGAAAACCATCCATTTAAAATATTATTTCTTCAAATCTTAACTTTTAAAAAGAACGTTTACTGAATAAAAGTAAATGTTGCAACCTTGCATGCGCCGTGAAGCGTACTGAAAGGGTAGGTACTGAACGGGAGATAGAGATTCGGCAACTAGACTAAAGAACAAACTGGGCTGGTCCGTCAGACGCGTGTCTGTAATTATTCATTATTCAATTTTTATTTTTATTTTGCATTAAACTGATTGTTCAATCCAATTTGTTATTAGTGTGTGTGTCAAGGAGCGGCAAGGTTAGTTGAATAATTGTTATTTTGTTTTTGAGAGTTCAATTATTTATACAAGTATCATTTTTTTCATTTTTATGTTTTTTTTTGTTTGTTTATAACATTTTTTATAACATGTGCATTGTTCATGTACAGTATCCGCCAAAATAAACAGTACTGAACATATAAATTCCCTATATCATTTATTAATTTGTATCATGCGTATATGTTCAAAAAATGCATCATAGCGACGCAAAAAAGCTTCATAACGATTCTGCAAATCATTGAGAATATTCATTCAAGAGTGGTTGTTGAAATTTTTCTGAGACTTATTTCAAACTTGCGCCTTTTTTCCTTCCAAATCCGTATGACCGGAAATAGTGCTCTACTAAGAAAACTGTTTCTTGAGTTGAAATATACATAATGACGACGATTTTAACCTTAACTTAATGTCAACCTCATAACTAATGGCAAGTAAGCGAAATATGATAAATGCAACTTGCGTACGCAATTACTCAGAGCTCTAGAATTCGGTACTGTTTATTTTGGCGGATATAGTATTTAACAAAAATCGTTTCATGCTGTAAACAACACAGATAAAGTGTTAATTATAAACCTAAGAAATTATGTGCTGTCTTTTTGTGCTGAGATTTTGATTTTGTGTATTCAAAAAGTGCATTAGGGCCTTGTTGAATTCACTAACATTTTCCTACCCTGACGAGCGAATATGACGAGCAAAGAATCTAGAGATATTGGCTCAAAAACAACTATAGCTGTGAGTCTACGTAACCAGGGACCTCAGTACCTGCCGCAGATGGACTAACAAAAATTCTTCAGTATTGATTATAGGTACTGTTGATTGAATGTAGTGTGTGTAATTAAAATTTTAGCACAAGAACACGGGCGGTACCTAGTTTCAACTTTTATTGAATTAATGACTCACAATTATTATTAAAATGACACAGTTTGTGTCGATTTTTGAGGAATGTTCGATCGAGGATTTCTCTGCCGTGCTCTTTCCCCTTCGTTAGTTCCAGGATGAGAACGGTACGATTTAGTTTAATAATAAAGTAGACGTTTCACAAATTTTTCGTTTCTTTTACATATCACAACTTCCCTTAAATTTCCCAAATATTTGCTATGTCGGGTGCATGTCCAGTAAGTAAAATTGAGTAAGTTTCCACAACGTGGGTCCTATTTGTTTTTCATTTCGTTTTTCAGAAGGTTTGTTGTTTAAAAGGTTATAAAAACGAACGAACCCGGGTATGTTAAACTACAACATCAAGATGTGAAAATTACGGCCATGCTGGCTGCAATCAACCACAGATGCCAAAAGTACCCGAAGCCTGTTCCCTTCCAGCAGGTCAAAGGGGAAAGAGCGACCCATCACAAAATCTTTCTCAACAGTCAAGAAGGTGGATCCGGTAACCACCGACTCAGGGACTGCTAGAAAGAACGAGCAAAGCGCGTGCACCAGCAGCAGACTTGATTAAAACGATCATGACAGCTCTTTTGCTATCAGCGATGGAGAAGATCATCAACAGCCACCTTCGACAGAGGACTCCTAGCTCGGAAACTTGAGGTTTAATTGCTTTTAGAAGAGCAATTATGATTACTGGTTTGCTTCTTCTTCTTCTTGTGCCCTGTGCAAACGCGTACGTTGGCGATCCTTAGTCGTATACTTGTGCCATTTGGAGGGTGCCATCTTCTGCTTGGCGGAATATTGTGGCGGCATCTCTTATTCCGCACCAGTCCCTTATGTTCCGAAGCCACGAGTGTTGCTTTCTACCCGGGCCTCGTTTACCTTCTATCTTCCCTTGCAAGATCAACTGAATGGAATATTTCGCAACCCTGATAATATTACCAAGATTTCGTGCCTTATGGGAAATGGTCGGCAACTGAAGTCCGCTTCATATCGCTGGTTTCGAGAAGGGTGCCTTTCATATGTGAGACATGTGCTAGTATCATGACTGACGTCAATCAGGTGGAAAGGATCTTTCAGCTTGAGGCTGGTTGCCCCTGGGGTCAGATTCTCGGGCTAGGGATTAGAGTTTCCCAAGAGAAATTTTTTTTTGTCCTTATGAACGTAATCGAAAAGTTAACGAGAATGATAAAGACGAAAATTTTGTTGTCTCGGTGAGCTCTACTCCCTGGCTCGAAAATCGGCTCCCTGGAGAATAGAAGGCTGAGTGTTGTTATTAACGAAATGGAGGATGAGAAGGTGGAAATTACTGTGAAATTCCAGAAACAAATTGATGACTTAACTAACGGAGTAAAAGACAAAAATTACCATGTTGCAAACTTAAGGAGAAATACTGTAGAGTTTCGGGATGACGTGCTTATGACTGAAAACACATTCGCAGCTGAAATAGAAGTGCTGAAAGCCTCCATAAATTCTCTGATTAAGAAATTTTTTTGTCTAATTGATGGGAATAAAAAACTAAAAGAAACGGTTCAAGATAGCATAGCAGTTCAGCGTGAAATTGAAAGAAGTGAAATACAGATCAAGGGAAACATCAAGAAAAAATTGTTAGACACAATCTTAAAAAAACTGAGTTGGAGGAAGAAGGGATTTCTGAATTGAAAAATAGGATTGATATTTTAGTTCAGGCTGATAAAAATTTAAAGCATCAACTATTAGATACTACAAGTGAAAAGCAAGTTCTTGAACATAAACTTCGTGTTTTAGAAGATAAACAAAGTACTGCCAAAAATCTAGAAAGCCCAAGTGTCATTATTGATAAATTGGAACGTAAATTAGAAGTACATGAAAAGGATAAACTTATTGTAGAAGCACAATATGAAGAGGAGAGGCAACAGTTTGAAAATGAGATAATTAGGCTGAAAAATTTAAATTGTGATCTTATGTCCTCGATTAGAGACTTAGAAACGCAGAACTCTGATTACTTAAACCAGATAGGTACTCATTTCCACTGACAGCGGTACTACAAGAGATGAATGCAAGTGCGAAAGTATCCAGACTATGGTTTGAAGGCTATTGCAGTAAAGGCTAGACAAGCACAAATATGGAATATAAATCTAGAAAGGGAAATACACGAAGCACTAAATCTAATTAACGAAATGAACAACAATGAAATTGTCAATTCATGCTTGAGCGACTCTACCAATAAAGCGCATTCAGGACTTCCACGGAATATATCGCCTGATAAAAATAGAGCACTCCTGCTTACTGATAACTACGGTTTCAGGTTGTCAGACAATTTATCAGACGCACTGGAGGGAACAGGTTCACATCTTCAAATAGTTAGTAAACCTCAAGCGACCTTTGCGCAAGTAATCCATAACACCGGGCAGCTTAGCAGGGAGTTTGGAGAGAACGATTTTTTGGTGGTTCTGGCTAGCATGAATGGTATAACCCAAAATGAAGATGTTCTCAAACTGATAAGATCCACAGACCACACCAACGTGATCCTGTGTACTATACCTGTGAGTCCAAATGATCAGCAATTTAACAGAATTTATAAAAATAATAAAGTAATTCTCTCTAGTAAGTTTAGATTAAGCTACACAAGATCAAAAATGCGAATTCTGGATGTCTCTTCTCTCTTGGATAGAACATCTTATTTCTCTAAACTCCTTTCAAACAGAAATGGCAGAATTCGTATGGCGAATTTAATCGGCCAATTGTTGGTAAGAGTTTTTCCATTGGTGGGTAATAAAACCCAACATGCTGGTGTGGAGTCAGTGAAACTCGAGGATGTGGCTACTGAAAATCTCTGGGTAAGAATTAATACTTTAAGGGGGAATGAGTCTGAAAAGAAAATTAACAATGTTCCTGTCACTGACATCAAGAAGGCTGCAAATGAAGACCAAGAGGAGAATAGTCGAAATCAAATAAATAAAAACCATAATACCTACCATTAGATCTAGTCCTTTTTAAGAATAAAAGAGAAAGTCTCTCAAGAACATTAGCATCATTTAATTTGTGAATATATTATCAAAACACCAGAGGATTAAGGCGCCAGAATTTCACCGAGAACTGTTAGGTTACCATTATGATATAGTTGTGGTTACTGAATCTTGGTTGAGGGGGACATAATTAATGAGGAAATTGTACCTGATGATTAAACTGTTTATAGATGCGACAGAGATCCGGAGATATCTGGTAAAAAGAGAGGGGGCGGTGTCTTGATAGCTGTCAGGATCAGCTTAAGTTCCTGGGCTGTGATGGAACTAAGTGGAGAGGTTTGTGTTTCCGGAGCTATTCATATACCCCCCAGTTCTCCTTCGTTACCTTATGGGGAACATATTTTCTCTATAAATAATGTTTTTGATAACTTTCCTAATGGCAAAGTTTTGATTCTCGGCGACTTCAACCTCCGAAATTACCCGAAGGTTTCAGGTATATTGATTCAAGGGGGTGCCATGGAAACGGAAATGATGAATATCTTATTAATTTTGTCAATAACAAGGATCAAAAGGCATACTTTTCCAGTAGTAACAAGTGTGGACGACTACCTTATCACTGCGTTAGCTTCTACGATCTGATGCAGCTGAATCACATAAAAAATATTAACAAGGTTATTTTGGATTTTGTGTTTGCTAATTTCTCAGGTATTTTGGTTGTGGAAAGTCATGATTGTTTGGTTAAAGTTGACTGTCAGTATCTTCCACATATTGTTTGTAAGCTTTCGTTACCTGACCGCATGTCCGATTGCCTGGAGTGTGATCATGTACTAAACAATGAATACGACTTTCGAAAAGCTAATTTCTCAGCTATTGGCGATTACCTTCAAAATGTAGATTGGGGTTTTATTGATGGTCTGTCAAATATCGACCGGGTTCTAGAGACCTTTTACTATATTGTTTATATACGCATTGAAACTTCTACACACAAGAAAAAGGGTAGGTCTGTAAAGTATCCCTCTTATTTTTCAAAAAAATCGATAAATTTAATAAGTAAAAAGAAAAAGATTTTCCAGGAACTAAGGAGATCGGGCAATTCTGTTGAATAAAATTTGATACATAACCATTTTAAAGAACTTCCTAGTTTATCAAAACAGTCCATTGACTCAGATTATAAAGATTTCGTTAATTCGGCTCAACTTAACATATTGAAAAACGTTAGAAAGTTTTGGACTTACATGAAGAGTAAGCGGAATTGTACAGGGTTTCCTAAAGAAATGCATTACGGAAGCAAACACTGCGATAGTGCAAAGGTTATAGTATCGTTTTTTGCAGAGTATTTTCAATCGGTGTATGCGGTCAGGGAAAGTGGATGTAGAATTAATAGATTTCATGTTGATAGATTTTATGTTGATTGTGATGTAAATTTATGTAGAATAAGTTTTAATAGTGACAGAGTGTTTGAAAAACTAGTTAATTTGGACTGTAGTAAAGGACCGGGGCCAGATGGCATTCCGCCCTTGTTTTATAGGAGTTGTAGTCCATCGTTGTTGCGTCCAATCAGTAAGATATTTCAGCTGTCTCATAACAAGGGATACTTCCCTGTCATCTGGAAAACAGCCTACATTACCCCTATTTTTAAGGGAGGTGATAGGAGTGACGTGAAAAATTATCGGCCCATTTCTGGCATTGACTGCATATCTAAGGTATTCGAATCCATTGTGGCAGATGAGTTAAAGATTAATTTTAAAAATATTATTTCTGAAAATCAACATGGATTCATGCCATCATGCTCATGCCAAACAAATCATGTAGTGTTTGTAGATCATCTAGCTACAATTGATAGAGATGGCCAGGTTGATTGTGTTTATTTTGACTTTAAAAAGGCTTTCGATCGGGTAGACCATGCGCTGTTGATCAATAAGCTCCTCGCCTATGGTATTGGGGCTTCCCTTCTTTCAAGCATAGAGTCATACCTTACGGATCGAACTCAAAAGGTTAAAATAAACAACATATTTTCTTATGTAGTACAAGTGCACTCAGGAGTGCCTCAAGGGTCCCATTTGAGTCCTATTTTGTTTTTGATCTTTATTATTGATATCAAGTACGAAATTAAAAGATGAATTTTGCTGATGACAACAAGATATTCAAGATTATTCTTACCAAAGACGACTGTGCTGAATTGCAAAACGACATAAATAACTTAGTTAACTGGTGTGAGATCAATAAATGGGTACTAAATATTAATAAATGCCAAGTTATCACGTTTTCTAAAAAGTTAAAAACTGTCGATTATAATTATAGATCAAATGGGAAATGCATAACTAGAGTTCACATTGTTCGCGATCTGGGGGCTCTATTTGACTACAAACTGTCCTTTATTGATCATATAAATGACGCTGTCACTAAGGCTCATCATATGCTCGGATTTGTATTGAGACAGTGCTGGGAGTTTACTGATGTGGAGGCGATAAAAAGTTTATATTATACATTGGTGAGGAGTCGAATGGAGTATAATTGTGTTGTATGGTCCTTTTTATAGCGAATACATTAATAAAATATAAAGTATTCAACAAAAATTTGTAGATTTTTACTCTATAAATTAAAAATTGATAAAAATTCTCTAATATATCACCAAAGATTAAAAACTTTCGGCATGGAAAGTTTAGAATCTAGAAGAGAATTGCTTTCGCTGAGTTTTATTCATAAAATTTTGACCAATAACATTGACTGCTGTGCTCTAATTGGTATGTTCAATTTTAGAATACGAACATATCGAACAAAATCTGACAATGTTTTTACCACAAATAAATGTCGTACCAATATAGGCAGTAACAATGTCAAAAATCGTATTATGAGACTGTACGATGCTCATATTCCACTATACTTTGACCTAAACTGCACATCAACTACTTTTAAATTAAGAGATAAAAAATTTCTAAATGAAGAATCATCACTCTAGTCAATAGTTCCTATGTAATATGTATACTTGTTATGTTTTTTTGTAACCTATATCTGTGTCATGTGAAAATTTTGAGGTTTTTCTAGAATTAAAATAATTTGTTTCAATAAACTTTAAGTTTACTTAAATGCAAATTGTGCTATTTAGGTAAGACCATCACCTCTAATTGTACATGCAAAATAAATAAATTAACGATTCCAAGCAGCTCTCTTTGAACTCCAGCTATTCTCAACACCTCTTCATTGGTTTTGCAGGCAGTCCATGGAATGCGAAGAAGCCTGCGAAGGGTCCACATTTCAAAATCCTCTATACGGTTCAGGGTCCTTACTTTTATTGACCATGTCTCTGCACCATATAAGAGGATGGGCCACACGTAGCATTTGACAACCCGAAGATGTAGTTCCATTGGAAGAGTTCGGGCAAGCAGAAATTTTTTCAACTTCATAAATGTGGTCTTATCCTGTCCAATCCGTATTTTAACTTCTTCATCGCAGTCCCATTTTTGGTTAAGGGTGGCACCCAGATAAACAAAACGCGACACCTGATCCAAGTCTCTTCCGTGAATTCTAATCACAAAGCTTACATCTGTCGAGTAATTCCTCTATTATCTTCTTGAAAAGCCAGCTCAAATATCATTTCCACATAAATATTATAATAAAATTGGCGGCAGGATGCATCCCTGGCAAACCCCTTTAGATATACAAAATCTATCAGTAGTGATTTCGTTGTTGATTCTTACCTCGGCAGTCCGTTGTAAATAAAGATGCTGGATTATACGGATATCCCTAGAATATATGCCAATCTCTTGCAACCTTGCTAGAAGAAAATCGTGCTTAATGTTATTAAAAGCTTTTTGATAGTCTATAAAACAAATAAACACATCTCGTCTCTGATCATAACATTTCTGGACAAGTAGTTTCATAGAGAAGAGCGCCTAGGCCACCTAACTGGGTTGCTTCGCTCATTGCTTTACACTTCCTATATACTCGGGCATGGATAACTCGGAGAAAGACTTTAAGAGCATGACTCATTAGACTTATCAGCCTGTAGTCTCCACAGTTTCTGGGGGTACTTTTTTTTAAGGATGGGTACAACGGTAGGCTTGAGCCAATCTGATGGAATTTTACCTGTCTCATAGATTTTATGGCATGAATATGTCACGATTTTTGTATCTCGCGTCTTCAGAACCTCAACATGTACATTGTCATGACCAATGTTTTTTCGATTTTCCATGTTCCTGATAGCTTGTTGAACTTCATTCTCCAGTATGTCTGGCCCAGATAGTTGTTCTGTTGAGCTGAAAAGGTCTTGCAAGTTGCGCTGATAAAGAAAAAGCGTTTCCGCGTACTGTTTCCATTCATTGTGCAGGTCATCTGGATTAAGGATCAGCTCTCCATTTTCATTTCTAAGAGATGGGATTGATGATCCTTTGATAGAGCCAGTTATTCACTTTATCTTTCGATGAAAGTTGACTGAGTCATGAAGCTCATGGAGTCTCTCAGCCTCGTCACATTCTGCAATGATCCATTGCTCTCTGGCTTCTTTACATTTTCGTTTCATTTTCCGATGTAGCTCAGTAAACCTTTTAGACTCTTGAGATAGTTTTGCACTTCGCAGTTCTTCCATTATATCAAGAATTTCATCCGTCATCCACGGTCTAATGTTGACACGTTGCTGCTGGCCTAAGACTGTCTCACAGGCACTTTAAGAATTTCTTTAACGTTGTTCCAAATGTCCCCAGGGTCGTCTTTGCTTCTTGGGTCAGTGGCATTGCATAGTCGGTCTTGTTAAGCTTCTGAACATCGTATTTTCGAGGGGCCTATCTTTTCCTTGTTATTTTAAGGTTGAGTTTAAAATTGGCTATTATAGGGTTATGGTCAGATCCAATATCAGCTCCCGGATATGCGGCCACACGCGTGATACTATTCTGGTATCTGTGGCTTATCAGAATATAGTCAATCTGATTTCTGACTATGTGGTCGTGATTGTCTCGTGGGGATCGCCATGTATATGGCTGTCTGGGAGGTAGTTTTTTAATAACCAATTTTTCCTCTTT